GTGTGTGTGATTGTGTGTGATTGTGTGAAAGGGTATAAGTGTGTGAGTGTGCAAGGGTGTGAGTGGATGTGTGCGAGGGTATGTATTTGTATAGCAATAGTTGTGAGGATGATGTAATGAAAAACGATGAAGATGAATGTCTGTAGAATAAATTGTCAATTGATGATGGAGATGATGATGAAAAGTGACATGAAGATGATGATAATAATGATGCGAATAATTACACAAAGATGATGTTTATAATGATGTGATGATGAGTGGCATTTTGACGAATGATGATAAGTGTGCATATAATTATAAACGATGATGATAACTGATGACAGTAATGATGATAATGAAGATTATATATATTATATAATTGTCAATCATGATGAATGGCTTTCTATGATGATGTTGATAATGATTAATGATCTTTTGATAGTAAAATTTTATGTATGTTTAAAAAAAAAAAGTTGAAAAAATAAACAATTACAAACAAAAAAAAGACTGACTTTATACAAAGCATGCTAGTGGGATACAACATAAACTGATTAGGTAACATGGTGAGTTGAGTGTGATACAGGACTGGCAGGTATACTATAGTGATGAGGTCTGGTGTGATAAAGGACTGATAGGTATAGTATAGTGATGAGGTCTGGTGTGATACATGACTCATAGGTATAATATAGTGTTGAGGTCTGGTGTGATACAGGACTGACAGATATATTATAGTGATGAGGTCTGGTGTGATACATGACTCATAGGTATAGTAAAGTGATGAGATCTGCTGTGATACAAGACTGATAGGTATACTATAGTTATGAGGTCTGGTGTGATACAGGACTGACAGATATACTATAGTGATGAGGTCTGGTGTGATACAGGACTGACAGATATAGTATAGAGATGAGGTCGAGTGTGATACTAGACTGATATGTATAGTATAGTGATGAGGTCTGGTGTAAAACAGGACTTGCACGTATAGTATAGTGATGAGGTCTAGTGTGAAACAAGACTGATAGGTATAGTATAGTGATGAGGTCTTGTGTAATACAGGACTTGCACGTATAGTATAGAGATGAGGTCGAATGTGATAAACGACTGACAGGTAAAGTATAGTGAAAATTATAGTGTCATTTCAGGAAATTTTGACATCAATCAAATACCGTTATCAATGTTTTACCTGTCCGCGATTAATCCAAAGGTGAAGGATCCGACGAGAACGCCTACAAAGTACATCATCTTTGTCAACGATAGCGTATCTCCATGGCTGCAAACAAGGTCGTGCTAAAACAGATAAAAAACAAAGTTTCGTAACACAGGTAAACTTATCATTTTACTGTATACATCATATAACATGTAACATATCAAGCAAAGTTCTTTCACACAGAATATACTTTAAGTGATTAAACGAAGAATAACAAAAGGCTTATACGAAAAGCCAACCACATGATCCAATGAAATACACTTTAAAGGAAAATCATCATGTGTTCGGGAAATTAACAATATAGCACTCGCGAGTAACACGGTGATTTAATGCTGCTTTCGACTGAAGAACTAATTCTCATTTTTACTGAATTGTAGGAAATATTTTCGTGGGGCATTTAATTTCGCTTTATTCGCAGTTACCAAAGATAGGTCGAATTTAACAACCAGCAAATATTGATACCATGAATATACAGAGATAAAAGAACAGATCTATTGATCATTTTACTGCCGAATTACTGCCGAAATAAAACGCAAATTAAATCCAGATTTTAGGTTATTTTGATAAAAAAAAAAAAGTAGTAAAATGAATCCTATTAATCAAATATAAAATTACCCTCTTGAGCGCAATATGTTTACCTGGCAATATAGCGCGGAACTTAATCCCTGTGAACTGTAGTTTTGATAGGGACATCTGCGAAATTAATAACTATTTGATTTTGAAATTGATATATGAGCTTTAGTGAAACGCATTAATACAAAAACCGAAAAAATCAACTGTTTACGATCTGAAATTACACAAATAGATTTATTTGGATGTCAAGCCTGGTACAATTATCGTGTTTTTTGTCGATGTGTTTGTTTTTGGTTTATTTTTACCTACCTTTGATACGAAGTTTGTTTTTACCTACCTTTGATACGAACGTTTCAGTGAATGTTGTCTGGCTGTACACCCATTTGTCACATTCCACCGTCGATCTGTTGCCGTAAAATGTGTTGTTGTTGCTGCCAGTGTCATTAATAGTATATATATGACACTGGTCGTAGTCCTTGGTACTGTCGGATGATACCGGTATATAATCGTCCACCATTGTTAGGTGTGTCGAGTTCTGTATACGGTAAGTGTCGGCGGCATATCCTGGTATTTGACATCTAACGTTTACAAAGTAGAATAGAGATTTAGAATCCGAGCTTACTCGGTTTATTAAATTCAATGAATTAGGTTCTATATGACATTTCATTTAACTAAGGAATGAAAAAGGGAGCCAAAATATCACATTTTAAGTTTCACAGCGTCGAAGAAGCTACATCGATGTCTACGGTGATCCTCACCTAATTAACAAGTAGAAAGAAACGTTAATTCTATTTTAAATAAACGTTAAATATAATAGCTTTTATTGTACGCATCACTTAGGAATATATTTAATCAGTTCATAATACACCTTTAACAAATTCGTGTTTGTCATTTCAACAACCTTATGTGGTATATAAAACAACAAAAATACTTAACGAAATCTTATAAACAATTGGACCTACCTGTAATCTGGTACTCCTAGCAGTAGTACAGATATCACCATAAACGCAGCAGCTTGAATGTGAGGTAAACAAAGTAGAGCAACCTGGATTTTCTGGTATTTACCATAACTACCTATTGTCTCAATAATTTCATCGAAATTTAACCCCTTGTCCATTTTGTGAAGAGGCAGAGTATCTGCTTCACTGTTCGTCAATGTTCCTTTATAGATAGCTAATGTTCTAATAAATAACAACGACTTGTCGTCGGTTCAAGTGGCCATCTCGTGACTCTGTTTACATATGCCTGTATCTCCATGGTAGTCCATGTCACCGGAGCACAAGTCAACAGATAATACATAACATGGTTTTTGTTTGTATAATTAAAATCTATTTACAAACTCATTTGTGTGAGAAATCATTGATATAGTAATGATAACGTATTAAATTCCAGTTTTTATTTTTCAATTAGACAACAATTAAAAAATATATTATAATTATGAGGTCTTATATTATCGTATATACAAGATTACCCAGTATGTAAATTAAATATGCTATCAATCAAATCCCAGTTAACTCTTGTAAATTCTGTTGTCACTTAAACAGCTACATAACAATTTATACTATGATTACCCTACCGTCTTCGATGAGTCCTAGAAGGACGAAACCGCTGTATGGTGCAGTGTAATTCATTTTTTGCGGTCTGTATCCATTGCAATATTCTGTAGGTGCATTCACATGATGGTATTTTGCGTTCTTCATTCAAGACATTGATAGCCTCATTGGTCTCTTTGAAATTAACCAGTCTATTAAAGGGTTTCATATCCCTCCTCTTCTGTTTCAACAGTTGTTTAGACCAATGTAGCTTTCCACTCTTTTGGCGTCTAGCGTTACCGATGAGTGCAAATATGACGAAACAGCTAGCTGTTTGTGGCAATATATTTAATCTTTCGGCACACTGTATCTATTACACAATGTTATTGGTTAAGTCGAATGTGTATTCTTACGTTCATCTTTTGAGTGTCATAATATGTTTACTTTATTTTAAGTCTCTGATAATGTGTCATATTACCTGTGGTACAAGTCTATATTACATTTACAGATAGTGTGTCATAATACCTGTGGTACAAGTCTACATTACATTTAATGATAGTGTGTCATATTACCTGTGGTACAAGTCTACATTACATTTAATGATAGTGTGTCATATTGCCTGTGGTACAAGTCTTCCTTACATTTACTGATAGTGTATCATGTTACCTGTGGTACAAGTCTCCATTACATTTACTGATAGGTGTCGTATTACCTGTGGTACAAGTCCACATTACATTTACTGATAGGTGTCATATTACCTGTGGTTCAAGTCTACATTACATTTACTAATAGTGTGTCATATTACCTCTGGTACAAGTCTACATTACTTTTACTGATAGTGTGTCATCTTACCTGTGGTACAAGTCGACATTACATTTACTGTTAGTGTGTCATATTACCTGTTGTACAAGTCTACATTACATTTACTGATAGTGTGTCATATTACCTGAGGTACAAGTCTACATTACATTTACTGAGGGTGTGTCATATTACCTGAGGTACAAGTCGACATTACATTTACTGATAGTGTGTCATATTACCTGTGGTACAAGTCTACATTACATTTACTGATAGTGTGTCATATTACCTGTGGTACAAGTCTACATTACATTTACTGATAGTGTGTAATATTACCTGTGGTACAAGTCTACATTACATTTACTTGTGTTGAAATCTCTGAAACGTTTATTTGTTTTACGAAAAGTGTTGCTTCTTAAATCGGTAGTTGATATAATATTGGGGGAACCAAATTTATCTTTATCATCAAGACACACTGCCAGAATTTCAATAAACTAACTATGTTTTCTAAACTGGCAACGTTATTCTTATCATATTAAATATGAGCAAAGCGATATTCAAACATAACTTCAATAGGTTTCCATACCATTTCATTGTAGACAAGAAGACGAATGATAAAGATATCCTCTCTGTCATTTGTTTCCATATATAAATTGCTGATTGTACTAAATGAGCTTGCTTAATCTCTTTGACATTTGATTTAACTATGAATAACGGAGGTTCCTCTGATATATCAAGGAAATTAGTTAATAACTTTAATTGTGGATATTATATTTATATAATTTTCCCCGTGGCGTTTTAGGTATTTACAATTTTTCAACGTCAGTGTCCGAATCTCTTGCTTCAAAGTAAGACATGTGATAAGACTTCAGTGTATGTTTGCGACTTAGTAACAAAAGAATTTGCCATCTTGACCTCAGTTTCTTCAAAGAATTTCATATCATTCAGAAGGATTAAACGTCAAATGTGGTTAACCCAAGTATGGTAAACAGGTATCGCAACAACAAGTAATTGTGCTGCTGATTAGTGTACTTAAATTTAAATATAGAGATGACGAAACATTAATACATGTAGAAATTTATAAATCAATATCAAGACAGCGACTCGTTAGTAAAGACGCCGTCTTACACTACAATAATATTTCGAGGATTTCATATACTGCTTTATCAAAAACTAGGTCTAAGGTTGTCTCAAAGCGGTTCACAAATTATTATCCGTGGTTATAGGGCCTTTGCAACCAGCCAATATCTTTCTCAACTCCCTGGGGAGCAAACAGACAGTTCTGCCATTTAGGCGCTCACAGCTTGCATTCAACAATACCAGCACTGCCCAACAACGTACTTATTTACATCTAAGTAGACTGTAAGAAGCAGAGTAAAGTATCGTGTTCAAGGATACAATACAGTGCCGTGACTCGAACCCGCAGCCCTTCGTTCATGCGGCCGGCGTCCTACTACCAGACTATCGTGTTCATTTCTGCTAATTGTTTCGAAATATGAACAAAAACTTAGATATTAATGTCTTATTTGATATTGTTTCGGCTAAATACAACGTAGTAATTTCAACAGAAGAACTACATAGTCGAGGAAAACGTGCGTGACGTCATAGTACGCTGTATCTCGTTGCTATTGAAACTGAGACTGTTACTGTGCAGCTTTGAAGTCTCTTCTTTTGGACTGAATCATTTTCCCCTATGGGTTGAAAACAAATCTGACCAGTGGACCAATAGGATTGATGACGGATAAACTATACAGATGATTCCATCGGCTGCATTCAATGATTTTTCTTGCTAAACTCTTTCGGCAAACATAACCTTAAAATGGAATGTAAAAGTACCTTGCCAAATGTTTCTTATAAGGAGGAAAATAAAAAAATAACTGAATTCATTGAAAAGATGTTTTTTATTTTCATTTTCAAAACTGTTGACAAAAACAAAAACGGGAGGATTTTTTGAGAATCTGGTAGCTTTTTGTCCCTTTATTCTGTTTTGTTTGATTCATCTGTCACGTGATGTTTGCCGTTCGTTATACTGTTGATTGTATCAGAGGATATTACCAGATTTGCTGTAGATACTCCCCTGGGTTTTCTAAAAGTAATGTCATAGCAAGGAATTAATTGTCGTACATAACTCAATATTATCGAATACTACTGATTGAATTATGTTTATGTTTATTTAGAGATATTCTATCATCGCTCAAAGTGTATAATCATAAAGTACCTACACTATGCATATCTAATACAAAATCGTCCCATTATCACAACATTATAAATAAGCAAAGAAATGCCAAATGATATATGATAGAAATCGCAAATAAATAACGGTTATCCAGCAAAATTCTAGTGTACAATAACATTACCTTCCAAATTCCTTTCCATCTTGAATCGTTTCGGGTAGTTTTCGGTTGTGTGTTTCTGGCAGGAAAAGTGTAAAAATACCAGCCAGCACTGAACACCCACCAAATATCACCAATGGTAACGCCTGACCAAAACGGCCCCCGACCAGGTCACCCTGAATAGCACAAAAATTAACAGAAAATATGGATCGTTTTGCTGCTCATTATAAAAATTAGATCCATTATATGTATATATTTATAGGTTGTTCATTCCAAGGTGGTCGACTCTGCTGACGGACTATCAGTCCATGATAACAACCGTAGCATTGTAGCTGGAGTGTAGTCTACCATGGTTTACATACTAGTCTTAAGAGTTTGATAGACACCTTTTTACTTTTGTTGTATTTCTACATTTGTATCGGAGCGTTTTAGACAAACCATTTCAATATTTTTCGCCTTTAGTTTCACTGACGAGCTCTAACTCGACGAAATGGCCCAACATGTCTATTTTATTTGTTTCTCTGCATTGGTTGACATATTTTTTGAGTAACGGCTCCCTTACTTCGGGTTTATAGCAATATGGTTCAGTTGAACTGTAGTAAACAATAGGCCGAGTGTTCCAAGCAGTTTTAGTACTTATGTAGCGGACATGTACTGAGTCGCTTGTCGGCAACCAGATAGCGTAATTGGTAGAGTCTCCGTCTAGAGTTTTGAGGGTCCCGGGTTCGATTCCTCGTCGAGCCGCTGCATTTCTCTTTTTCTGTTACGAATTGGGCGAGGTTCCTAATCATTGTTCAGGCACTGGGCAAAGGGATACCTTAATTTGGGTTTTAACAGTTCGGGAGCGAAGACTTAGAAAAAGGACGGAGGTATTTAGCGGAATGTATTAGATCGATTTTCGGCGACTTAGGTAACACAATTGTACTAGATCAATATTTCGGCGACCAAGGTAGCACAATTGATATAGCTTCCGTCTTGATTTCGAAGGGTACCGGGTTCCAACCCCAGTCTGGCCGTTACACTTAATGTCATGTTGATTCCAGATTTAGAAATAGACATGTGGGTGCTAGAATGTTTGTTATTATCAGATTAACTGAATAGTTAAACAGAAAACTAAAGTAAACATTTTAAATTGCTTGTATATTAATTATTACAATTGACAGAAACGTTTGTACAATAACGCATTTCGGAACTGTGGATTTTACATACCGACTTAGCCACGTACGGAGCCACCATTCCTCCTACACGAGCTACACACGAGCTCATTCCCATGCCCCCGTTCCTCACCACGGTCGGGTAGAGTTCCAGAGAATAGATATAAATTACACCAAAGGCTGCCGCAGATCCAAACTTTCCGATAATGGCTAACGTCAGTGTCACCGGCTGAAAACCTTCGTTGTATAAATTGTAACCATGAAAATCACAACATCATAAAATAGTTGTAACAAATTGATTTATATCAATGAGTGGAAAATAAGGTTTTTGATTGAAAATTAAGAGCTTTTTCAAGGGTGAAAAGTAACACTGTTGTTATTTCTATACTTAACTGACAAAAAACACCATTTATTGTAAAACAAGAGAAAGAAAAATAAGACTTATTAGGTCAGAATTTTGACTTCGAATGGCCCTGCACAATGTGCTGAAGATGATGAGACATGATACTTAATTAACATGTTTGTGTTTGAAATATATTAAACACAATATGTATTGTTTCGTGTTGAGAATGCGAAAAATTACCATGCTGTTTTCTTTTTAAAAAAATGTAAGTTAAAACATAAAACTGATAGACTTATCCCACTTACTATCACCTCCATATACCACAGTAAAGACTGTTGAGAGACATGCAATGCCGCCAATCATCATACACGTGCAATGCATCTTCTTCCTCCCGATACGGTTCAGTAACACCATCGTCATGGCTTTGGCTGGAAATTCCACCACAGCCAGGATGAAGAAATTGAGGTAGAAATTGCCGCCTAAGTTTCCAGTATGCATTGTAACCCCATAGTACACCATGCTAATTACAATCCTTAAACATAAAAAGGTCAGGGATCAATATGTATTTAAGAGTACTTTGCATATTACAGTGATTGTGTGGCAGTGTCGGATATCATTCAATAATCATGTATTACATAGTATTGCAACTGTGAAGTTGGATAAAATAATTGTATAAACCGCTCTTTTAATGACATGTGAATATTTCATGTACATCATATCTTGCTGTACTAAAAAATAACGACATTGCTTCTTTTATAATCTCATCACGATTCACTGGAATGTTCGACTGGAGGAACAGCAAGCACAAAGCATTTCCCTTTTCCTGCAACTGAATTTTCAAAAATAGTCCGTAGACAGTACACCCGTAAAACATGTGTTTATCATTTCGTACATGTACTTACTTTATGTCATATTTGGTATTGTAACAATCATAAAAGATTTTTTTTAAACATAACACTAGATTTTTTTAAACATAACACTAGTGTCTATCATTATGGCTCTTGGCATTGTTGTCAAATTCAAAACTTGAGTAATGCGGTCGCCACCGAAAGCTATTCGCCGTACTGTTAATTATTGATATTGAAGAAAACAAATGAATTTTGAGGTGACAAATTAACCGAGAGTAGACATGGTCGGCTTCATTGTAAATGCTGAAAAAACGCAGACTTTTCTCCGGTCATGTTAGTTGAGCCGAATGACACTGATAGTGACATTTCATTTTAAACGAAGGGGAAAAGGATGTGCCGGACAGTAAGTAAGTGAGAGCTTGCTTCTATACTAAAAGCATTGACCTGTGGTATAGTCGAAGGCGAGATTCATTGCGATTGAATTAAAAATCACTTAAGTTTAAAAGTACATAGTATTGTAGTTTTAATAGAAATAAATATCATTGCTATAGTTTTATGGTGGACGAGACAATTTCACCCCCAAACAATCCAAACGAGAGTCAAACGTGACTTCCGTATTGTTTGTTTACGTTTTGGTCACATTAGTATGGTAAGTTATTTTGGTACATAACATGATGACCTGTAACGAAGTTTTCTTGGTTTACATAGTTGCATAGCAACAAAAATGTCAAACACATGTAGTGTCATATGTGTTAGTTGAAGTGTCCATAAGTCATTCATCAAAACTAGATTAAACTGGGACTTCTTTCAACTTTCAAGGCACTACACGTGTATCCCTTTTTTCATCAAAGTTCAGCTCAAGGCCAGAAACATTATCGTCATTATAAGGCACCTCTACACTTTTCCGCTGTATATATGTTTCGTTGGTGAACTATCACATTACTGTTAAAAAAATGAATATTGATTTTAACAGTAAATTAAACAACGCATATGTACACCAGAGTATCAATAATCATATCTACATATGTACACCAGAGTAACAATAATCATATCTACATATGTACACCAGAGTAACAATAATCATATCTACATATGTACACCAGAGTATCAATAATACTAATTAGGTGTGTTTGATTGTATAAACACTTGTTACTGTATTTAGTAGATTTTTGAAGTGTTATTATTCTACTAATTTATAATTATTATTTAAATATGGAATCACACTTGCGCCATTTTGACATATCCAACAGCAATTATTGTTTTCTTTCTTTTATTGTGTCTCCACCGTGTCTGGTGAGTGTGAAATGTAAATGACGTATTTGTTAGAGCTAACAATGTTTTGATTAAGGATAAATGCTGTCAAAAAAAAAGAAAGGACTTGATTTACTTTTGTGGAAGACAAGACCTGTAACGGTTGAAACGCCGCATCACCCATGTTGTATAATCTAACTTAAAACGCTTTTATATCTTCAAAGAACATTTTTGGATATTAGATAACGTACGTAAACGTATTCCTACTCAACGATGAAATTATACTTAGCATGAGTCAGGAATCAGGGCAGTAACTGATGAAAATAGTGATATTAACATGCATATCTAAATATGTATTAATATCAAAATAAACAGAATATATAACTGCTAGCACCTTTGTTGTATGATTTTCATTTTTTTGCATAATGTTCTTACTTCAGCGATGAACAAATCATTTGCTGAATCAAAGGTTCCGTTGTGATTCAAGAAAGCTGATTATTTAGGATATATTTAAAAGAAGTCCAGGCTGGCAAGAACGACCGTCAAGCATTAGATTTGCCATCTTAGATAAAACCTTGTCCAACTGGCTTTATTTGCATCAAAATACATACGGGAGATAGGATGGTGTTATGATCACGACATCGGTAAACTGATGCCACCAACAATTATGAAATTACATTACAAGTACCCGTATGTCAATTGCTTTTCATAGGAATATATTTACTTTTCTTTTACCTCATCATATTTACTATACATTCACAATCATTCTGTTAATATACTTTACCTCATCATATTCATATACATTCACAAATTTTTGTTTACACTCTTGATGTTTGTTCTGTATATAAATCTACCAACTCAAAACAACTGCCATAAGACTATGAATACACTATGAATACAACGACTCTCGTGCAACCAGTCAGCTGATTTCACACAGAATGACAGATCATATTACTACGCATAGTACCGTTTCTGAGAATAGTTATCTCCCCTTCCCCGAGAAAACGTAGTTGCGAGAAATAATAATAAACATTATAAAAATCATGAATGGTGCACCATTGTACTATTATTATTATTCTTTCTTATTTAAAACTAAAAAAAATACTTAAAACATTGTCATATTAAATACCGACTTCCGACTCTCAATCGGTTCCTCGTGGTCACGAACTTTCTAACACCCAAACGTCCGACTGGGTAGTCCCCGTGACATCAACTAACACATTAAACTCAGAGAACTTTGTAATGATTGGTAGACAGTACATTCAACGGCTGTACATTTAACTTCAAATTAGCTCTATGCCTACTGCCGACGGGTGCTCGGCCGACGAGTGCCCTGGATGGTTACCGACGGGTGCTCGGCCGACGAGTGCCCTGGATGGTTACTATAGTGACTGATGATTTGAAATAGGGTGAACATAAACTTTTTAAAATATATAATATGCGGTGTTAAATGCGAAAAAAAAATCAAATAATATCATCTTTCAAAAGTGAAAGGATTATCGAGTGTTGGTTATTATTAGATTCTAGATATATGTTTTCGTTTCAACAAAATCAGCTGATCTGCGGAAGTCAAACATTTGAAGTTTGTGTGTAGGCTGGAGTTCTGGCTGTTCCTTTTTTATGGTTTTCTGACCGACACAAATATTGAAAACATTAAATCTACAAAAAGTGTCGTAACTTTTGTATTGTAGTTCATCGTAACGTAAATATATAAAGTGAACGCTCCACATGATATGTAGATCAGCTACTGCTTTTCATTGCCGCAATGTACATAAAAAAACACACCATTCAATCCCTATATGCATATTATCGCACCGAACGACAGTGTGTATGCGCCAATCGACCGTACATAGGACATCTGTTCTGATGCTGATTGCACCTGTCTCTAATATCATTCCAAATTACTTGCTAGACTAAGTAACTACTCACCAATTAAAAAATAGAATCATTGTCCGGAAAAACAAAACCTTAGATTTGAATAGTTCCAAAATGTTGCCCTGCTTGGGTGCATCTAGTGTAGACAAATCAACTAGTTTCTCGTCTTGCATATCTACATTGTTCGCCTTGGCTGCCTTGCTTATGATCGTGTTGGCCTCCTCGTAACGACCCTGGCTGGTCAACCATCTGGGTGACTCTGTGATCAGCCTAAAACCAAGCATACAAGATATTATCATTCCCCTATTAGATTAGTATTTTAATAAGAAATATTTCTTTCCTGTACTACTTGATCTGGCTTTTTGGAGATACAACGTAAAATTAAAGAACTGCAGCATATTTTTATACAAAACTTTTATAAAGGTAAAATCAATATGGACTTGACGGCATCATTACGGTGTCGGCGATGTATACATACCACCAATACAGAAGGAAGAATGTTACTGGTGCTGTGATGGCGATCTGGACGTATTGCCAATCCCTTGTGAAGTACTCCATTCCCGCCAGGTACACCAAACCAACAGCGAAGAACATATGGATAGGGATGCCCGCCCACACCCGCTTACTGGGTCCCACCATCTCAAGACCTGATAAACAACAGTTTCAGCAACGCTTGATTAAGTACACATTTCCCGACCTGCACCACGACAAATAAAACAACTGCCCCTAAGTAGTAATCTCGTTAATGGTACTGAAAAGAATGACCGAATGGAGACTGTATAAATAAAGCTTTAGGAATTCAATATACAGTACGTCAAATGTGAGCCATTTGATAATAACTGACTTCTGTTAGATGTATTGATATTGCGGATATATTGAGATTCTGAATACACTGGACTAACTCGGCGTTGTTTTAGGTTTAACGCATTTAAAACATTTCAGACAGTTAATAAGAACAAACAGTCGTTTTATATATACCCAGCACACAGCAGACCATAAAGGCTCCGTGAACGGCCGCACCATTGATAAACTCCAGGACACAGAAACTGTAGAACTCTGGTGCGAACACCGTGGCTGAAGAGGAGGCCAAGAGAATAATGACTGAAATGGTGAATGTTTTCTTTCTTCCGATTCTAAAAGAGAAACAAGCGTAATCTTCAGACAATAGAAGACAGTAAACCAAAGATGCGTTTCCATTACATAGAATTATTATCAATGAAACTTTAATAGCACTACAATTATTGTTTCGTCTTTATGTCTAAATAGAATCTAGAAATCAGTGTCACAATTAACAACAAACAAGTGATAACAAATTTAATAATGTATTAAGTTTGCTAACATAAGGATGATTATTAGCTGAACATGACCTCCTTTGAGTACAAGGTCTAGGCTGGGGACTGTTCGCCTTGTGTGAAAAGTGTGCCGAGACCAAGGACAAATTTGGATACAACATTGACCTTACCTTAGTAAACCGAGTCGATGTAAGGGGTCAATGATCAAGCTACTCTAGTTGAGTTCCTTTGTTCATTTTACACAAGTATTACCTCAAACTCAATAAGATGTAAAGTATTCCAGCATGTGTAGCCATGTGCTGGCCGCAATGTCTTTTAGTTGTAGACAAAATCGGGAATAGAAAGCATTACACTGGCATAATGCTACTACATGCATATACATTTAATTACATATAGTGTCCGCGCATGCAATTGGCCCAAAGGAGGTTGTGTTTATTCGCCCATTGCGTATTTGACACCAAAACGGCGCAAATATTTTGTTATGAGTGTGTTTTTGTTTTTTCAAAATGTCCTTCGTCGTTTTCAGAGAAAGACATAGTGGATGTGTGTATCCGTGACTACCGATGTAATTATTACGTGTGAAATTGATTTGCACTTTACTTACACATCAGACAAAAGTCCAAAAGATATATCTCCCACTAGTACTCCGAAATAAAACACCATCTCAGCCATTGAAGTCTTTATAGACTCTCCACATACAAGGTTGTGCTACAAAAAAATGTATAAATACTTTGTATGATATTTAAGGTGGTAGATTTTTTTACGGATAATTTTAACATTAGAATTTGAACATGCATAAAGGTAACAAAACTATGCACAACAGGTACTTACAAGCACATTCCCTCTCACGATGGGTGTTATTTTCGTAGAATAAAGAAACAATGTACAGCATTGTAATTAAGTTGTAATTGAAATCATAGAATATTCCTTATGTTAAGGATCTTCGCAATCGACAGATCATTTTGTAAAATCCACGTATTTCAAAGGAGTACCTACCCGTGATGTAAACGTTTCCAAGAAAACAGTTTTGTCATAAACCCATTCTGTGCATTCATGCACTGTTCTGTTTGCGAATGATCTGTCATTTTTACTCCAAGCGTAATAGTGACATTGATCATAGGTATGCTGGTCGTCAGTAGATGGTGGAATGGTGTAATTAATCCATTTCCGGTGCTCTTCACTTTGGATTGCATATGTATCATTTCCCCATTCTGGTATTTTACACCTATAGCAAAAGGAGGGAAAGAGGTTTACGTAAGATAAAGTGTTTCCCAATTGTAAAATATCAAAATGTATCAAGTAAGAGCCATAGTCAAAAATTATTTGAAAAAACGCATTTTTTGGTTTTTATTTTATAATTGTAACCTTCTCACTCACAAAAAAAAACCTTTACTTTTTCCAGATGAAACGATTATAGCGACCGTGAAATGTTGTACTAATAGATATGTGATCGTCTATTCACCAAAAAACACTGTTCAAATGATTCTTGTTCGACGATAGATACTGTCGAAGGAACGCATGTGTAAATATCGACACTATTCTAAAACATGTAATTGCCATATATATACCCCTTATCTCCCGATTTGTGTATCGAATATCATACTATACATGTATGGCCCGGATAGCGTACCTGTGTTCAGGAGGTTCCATGACGAAGACCAGGATCATCATGTAGCACCCGGTAACAACGGATGGCATACATAGCAGCAGGTAGAGACGGCGCTGGAAGTAGCCGAACTCTCCTATTTGTACCAGGATGTCGTCAAACTTCATAGCACTGGTAACTACAACAGTACACAGGTTGTTAGTTCATTTTGACTGTTAGCTACATCACCTTTGTCCGTATTGTTTATTCAATAAGTATCAACGTGGAAGGTGAACAGTTTGTGTGTTATGATGTTTAACAGTCTGTCTGTTTAATGTTAACAGTGTGTGTGTTATAATGTTTAACAGTATGTCTGTTTAATGTTAATAGTGTGTGTGTTATGATGTTTAACAGGGTGTCTGTTGAAGGTGAACTGTTTGTGTGTAATGATGTTTAACAGTCTGTCTGTTTAATGTTAACAGTGTGTGTGTTATAATGTTTAACAGTATGTCTGTTTAATGTTAACAGTGTGTGTGTTATGATGTTTAACAGTGTGTCTGTTGAATGTGAACAGTGTGTGTGTTATGATGTTTAACAGTGTGTCTGTTTAATGTGAACAGTGTGTGTGTTATGATGTTTAACAGTATGTCTGTTTAATGTTAATAGTGTGTGTGTTATGATGTTTAACAGTGTGTCTGTTGAATATGAACACTGTGTGTGTTATGATGTTGAACAGTGAATGTATAAAAAAATATGTTTACAACAATCTGGAAACACGATTGCATATTTATATAAATTACTCAGGTTGGCCCAGATTCAAGCTTACATAAGGTCCTAATAGAAGAGGAAACTAGAGGAGAATAACCCATTTGGTCTGGTAGGTTACTCAATATTATTTCATGTTTGATCGGGGTTTTGAACCCCAGCTGTCTTGCCGAAAGAGTGTGCTGTCCACTGCGCTACCCGACCAACCGTATTACTCAAATTCCTAATTTAAGTTACTCACCTAATTTAAAAAATCATTTAGTTAAAGCAGTTTTTGAAATGGATATTATTAATAACACATTTAAAATAATTATCTTACATATTAGATTTTCCGTTTATAGTACAACCAACATACCACAAAGTTGCGTATTAATTATTTTTTACATTTAAAACAAAAATTGCATATCAAGTGAACATACCCACCTCATTGATTATTTTATTATATCTGAATGTTTTTAACCTACCATTCGCTAACTGTTTACTTATCATAACCATTGATTATATACATTAAATCATACCAGTTAACCTGAACATTTCATTTCGAAGAGATATATCTTAAAGGTGCTCTTACAGCGACACCTTCGACAAATCATATTTGCCGATCACATGTTTTAAATGTTTTGGATAAATTACTGATTGAACTGGCTTCTTTGTGATTTCTCAGTAAATCCTTATCAATACATCATGCCCGATGTAGTTAATGACTCGAAGACCCTGCTATTTGCAGATGACACCAAATTGTACAAGGATACCAGAGAACAGGGAGTTTACAAAAGGACCTTGACAATCTGCAACAATGGTCGGACACGTGGCTACTAAAGTTTCACCCAGATAAATGTAAAGCACTATATTTGGGAAAGGATAAAAATCCAAATGGTCTACACCTTTACAAGGATATGGACGTTATGAGGAGCACGGTAAAGCTGAAGGAGGAAGTTGAAGAGAAAGACCTAGGAATAATTATAGACAATAAGTTAATTTTCAAAAGCCACATACAAGCCGCAGTAAACAAAGCGAATAGAGTACTTGGAGCCATCAGAAGAACTTACGCATTCTTGGACAACGAAACATTCTGCCTGTTATACAAAGCTTTAGTACGACCACACTTGGAATATGGAGCATGAGGTTGGAAACCATACAAACAACAGGATATCAACCTTTTGGAAAACGTTCAGCGGAGAGCTACCAAATTACTGCCAGGGATGAAGGATATTTCATACGAGGAAAGAATGAATAGACTTAAACTTCCATCATTAGTCCATAGAAGGAACAGGGGAGACATGATCGAATATTTAAAATATTGTCAGGCATATATGATACATCAGGATCAACGGGGCTTCTATTAATTAAACAAGACAAAAGAACTCGAGGGCATTCATTCTGCATGGACAAAGCAAGAAGTAGATTAGACGTTCGTAAATACTCGTTTACTCAGCGTGTAGTCAGCAGCTGGAACTCCTTACCCGAGAACATGGTCCAAGCACCGAATATTATAACATTTAAAAATCGCCTTGATAAGTTTTGGGACACGCGCGACAGGATGTTTACAATAACACCCGAGTGATGACACATACACTATATTACATGTATATAATTATTATTTGAAGGACTGTGATCTGAATATAGAGGCAAATGTATATGTCTGCGTTCAGAATAATCTGAGTTAATCCAAGTTAATACTATATCAGTTGTATCTTATTTAAATACTCTTACTAAGTGGCTTGACTTGATAAAATGATCATGAAACAAATATGACAAGCATTTAAGAATCTTAAGTAATATATATATAATAGATAATATGCTTAAACTTTTCACAATGAATTATGGTCCTGTACATTACCTGTGTTCAGCCTCCCTTGTGGACTGAAATGTCGTGTCACCTCAACAGATCTTTCTCACCAGTTGGTCTAATTGACCTTCACATGACACCTGGTAACGGAGGCAGGTCTAAGTCTTGAGACAGTCGAACATCACAATTACGAATTACGGGTTGGCTGAGGAATGTCATCTGTGTACAAACACACATGATATGGTACGGCGAGTGTGATGTACAGACAAGATGTAGTCCTGGCTGATTACAGGCCAACGTCACCTTCCGCTTACACCCCGAGTACAAATACACACTGTACTCTAATCTAAATAGATTAGATTGTACTACGAATAAGAATTATTTCTACGTATCTCTTTATCTAATATCCATAAACTTTCAGGTTTTTTTTAGATATTTAATCAATTCTTTACACTAACAAGTAGATGGAAACACGATTGGTTTTTTTTAAATTTAAGAATACATTATCTGTTGTAGCTTAACATAGTTAATTTGTGAAGAGATTAAGGAGTTTATAGTCAGCTTTCCTCATTATTCTACATGTACATAGTATTTCAAAACACGTTTGATATAGATTTTCAATCTTTTGCCCTTTAATACCACTGAATTTAACTGTTAACACTTACATTATACTTATAACTACCCAGCATTACAAAACCAAAAGGTAAAGGTTGAACACCTTCTGTACATGTATATGACTTAAGGCTGGGGTGCATGTAGGATGATTTTTTATTTTATTTTTTATTTTTCAATCTTGGTCAAACACAGTAGATGTTGTTTCGGCTGTGCTATGGTGACAAACGCTAAGAGGGACTGGTCCTTAAGTGGGATAATGTTTAGGTGTAGATCTGCAAGCGGTTATGATTAAAAATAGATTTTCGATCCTGGGTGTTTTTGTTTTGATTAAATTTTTACCAAGTTTACTTTTTTCAGTGGTTATATAATGTGTAATCTATAGAATTGTGCGTAAGAGAGGACCAGCTATTAGCATCAGATTCTTCCAATGTTAATTGTCGTTTGCCATCTCAAACTACCGGAAGTGTGTATACGTGTGTGTTGTGAGATGACCAGTAGAACCTGTTTAGAATATTTAATTGGATTGAGGGGTAGGATGTCAAGTACATACTGATTATTAAACCAGCACCTGGGTACATAGACGTTAAGGAAAGTGTCTGTTTGTTCAAACAGGAATATTGGCCAATGGGTTAGAAGAAGAGTTAACCATTAGTTTGTCAATTGTGGTTTGAAATCACGAGGATCACTGGGGAACTTCATGGAGCAACAAATGGCTCGGTTTATCAAAGAAATAAGATATTGATTTGCATTACATACAGATATTATTTATCTCTTGATAGAATAACCTTTTTGGATATAAACTATTTCATGCAAATTCTACTCCAGTAATAGAGGACTGAATTGTATCGACTGTAAATTACTTTAATTCTGTTTAAAGTGGTTACAAATATATAGATAGATAGAAAGAAAATAAAACCTTCACAGAGTTTCTTTACCAATTGTACATAGATAGCATTACAAATATCAAACAGCAAAATGATTAAATGGATTGTTTTTAAACGCGCTCACTGATTTGAAAGGTGAATAGGCTCTGAAATAAGTAGCTTGCTTGATATGAGTGATCATGACGAAGTTAAAACAGTATGACTTGGTTAGGTTGAATTTTCTGCTTAAAATCAAACATTTAAGTGGATTTGAATTGTTCAGCTTGATTTATGTAAAGGAAGAGGAAGCATGTAAATGATTATGACTAAATCGTTGAAAAATGATATATTCTTAATAAGACATTAAGAGATTCGTGACTGTTTGATATTTTATGTATAAACTTACCATTAACATTACCATGATGCTATAGCCGGTTTTGTAACACAAGGTTGCATGTATGCTGACTGTATTCTGCTGTCGTCGTCCTGAGATTTTAATGCCCAGATGTATACAGCTACCATAGGTTTGGACATGTTTGCCATTTACTGAATATGTGAAGCCGGTCTTGTTAAATCTAAGGATGTTGTTATCAGTTGCATTTGATCATATAATTGTTCGACTGGTAGTAGGTTGTTTTCGCTGTATATCATGTGCAGCATTTCAAAGGATTTTGGCTAGCCGAGCCAGGTCATACATGTATGCACAGAAGGGAAAATGGAAACAAAATAATCCTTCAGTATCGGCAAAAAGACAGCTCGAATATAAAATCGATAAAACTAGCTCAAAATAGAAAGGAAAGCTTTATATGGAGGAACCAAATAATAAAACCGGATGTTTAGATAGTGTAAGCGTGTTCTGTTTCATCGACATTGCTCACCATGTCAATTTAGGTCAAATTCAAGTAATTAAGGTGGCGTCCTCAAATCGAGAACCGTAGTAGTGCAATGAAACAAAAACAAATGACTAATGAGCAGAATCAAAAACATAGAATTTCATATTTCACAGGGAAATCGAATAGTTCCCAATGATTTCAGTTTTCAGAATCATGAAGAATCCGATGCGAATGGGCCGGGAGGGAGAGAAAAATGGACCTGATAAACATCTATATGATGCTTATCCTCCGACCTTGGTTTTACGGCGCTGTTTTCATTGCTACCTCCAGATGTGCACCAGCTCATGTGAACTGGCTGAACTAGTAGCTGGATAGCAGGTATACTGCTCCAGATGTATCAGCGTATGTGCTTGCTGACTTGCATTGACAACAGTTGTTAATTGCTGCATTGTCTATCATCACATGGTGTTATCACAAATGTCTTTCACTAATCGTCACAATCACAGATGATGTCTAATTCCTGCCTAGCCATTTGTCCCCTCTCTTCCTCAAAATCCACTAGAAAGATATCTACGCCTCTCCACACTTCCGAGATGAGTTTTTCCTCTCTTTTTTCATTATACCTAAAGTTCTACTGGTACTTCATCACAAGTTGTTGGTATTTCGCCAACTTTCTCCTGTATGGTTCCTCTATTCTCTCTGCCTATGGGACCATGACTGTCTGCTTGGTTGCCTGTGATGATAACTAGTACGATATCTGGTCATAACCACAGGGACTTGAGAATTTGTTCCAGCTATATTTGGACCTAAACTAAGGTGTTTAGAGTAATTTCACACGTTTGGGGGGTTTAGATCAATTTTCGGTAAAACTGCCACCCCAATGATGATAAGCTGCGAGAAGGGTTGAAAGCTATCGATGTATATTATCATCATTGCGATCACGGAGGAAAAAATAGTCAAAGCTATTGGCAGATTGAAAGTAAACAAAGCTGCTGGTCCAAACAACATACATCCCGAATTCCTAAAGGAGACTGCAGACCAAATATAGGGCCCTTTAAAATACATTTTTGAAAAATCTATGGCAGAAAATTGTCTTTTGAAATCCTGGAAACAAGCAAATGTCACACCAATTTTTAAAAAGGGGAACAAGAAAGATGCAGGGAACTATAGGCCCATAAGCATATTATCAATTGTGGGTATACTGCTCCAGCGAATTATTAGAGACGAAATAGTGGAACACATGGAAAACAACAACGTTTTCTCAATGGAGCAGCACGGTTTTAGAAATGGCAAGTCTTACACCACACAACTATTAGAATATATTGACGACTGGACAGAAGCTATTGACTAAAACAAGCAAGTAGATGTAATTTATTTGGATTACAATTTTTTTTTGACAAAGTACCCCATAGGAGACTATTACTTAGAGGTTATTATATGACCATTTTGATATCATATCCCTTATCAGCCCGAGAGTCCCGATATCAGCCCGAGGGGCCAAAGGCTCCGAGGGCTGATATCGGGACCGAGGGCTGATAAGGGATATGATATCAAAATGATCATATTATAAACTTTTTATCATATGTTCAAGTAACAAAAAATCAAGTCAACAGGAAAAACAATTAGATAATTTAATCAACAATGTCAACTGAAACAGATTATTACAAGATGATATTCAGTCAATTCTTAATAAATATCGTTTCAAATCGCTGCTGTCAGTAATTATTATTAGTCCGACTACTACTATAGTATTCATTGCAGATGAAACGCCATGATGTATTCACTATCCGAGTCCGTTATGACATTCACTCTCCTTTTCTTTAAAGGATTAGGCCCAGGGTTAAAATTGATTGTGAATGAACCGCCGTGAATTTGTGCACCAGTAAACAGACTGTGGTATTTCCTCTCCCTGGTTTGTTAACATTTTGTTTGTTAACGTCTGCTCAACACACTGTCTAAGCAAAAAACCAACTGACAGCGCAAATCCGGAACGCTTCGGGCGCTTCTCATATCCAATACAGAAGTAGAGGTGTTCCGAACAGGGGGTGCATTACGAGAATTGTTATCGCTTGGAGTGGGGGGGGGGTGTTACATTACGAGAAACTTATCACACGGGTGACCGGAAGTGGTATCAGGAGTGGTCAGAAGTTATCAAATATGCAAAAACACTCATATTCTAAGTAAACATATGATAAATAAAGTAAAGGGATATGACATCAACGGGGACATATTGGGATGGATTACAGACTTCTTGAATGATATGGAGCAAATCAAGCACATGTCAAGTCATAATTGTAGTCCCCCAGGGAAGTGCGCTGGAGCCAGTCTTATTTCTCATCTACGTAAACGACCTTCCCGAGGTCATTCATAACTTGACCTGACCAAAATGTTTGCAGATGATCCAGGAGAACAGGGGCAACATCTTCAAGAGGGTCTACACCGTTTAAACAACTGGACGAGAACATGGACGATAGAGCTAAACTCTGTTAAGTGTAAGCATCTATTATTAAATCAATGAGCAGTTAAATGTGATACTTCATACAACATTATCAAACAGGGGGAAGTACACAAACTAAAAACTGTTAACAGTGAAAGGGATTTTAGGTGTGACTATAAACACTAATCTAAAGTTTAGTGAACATGTAAATCTGTCAGTAGCCGAAGCAAACAGAAATGTAGGAATGATTTTTAGGACCTTTAGCTGTGTAAATAAGGCAATGTTCATAACCCTATACAAATCCCTTGTAAGACCATATCTAGAGACATCTGTTGTAATCTGGGCACCCGTGCTTATAAAGGATAAAATATCCATTGAAAATGTCCAAAGGAGAGTCACTAAACTGGTCCCTGTTATCAAAGACCTATCCTATCCTGAAAGACTTGAGGCTCTTGGGCTACCCACTATGGAGTACAGGAGACTTAGGTCAGCATTCAAGTAAATAAATAAATAGGATAAACAAGAACAACCAGAGGTCACAACTAGAAACTAGAAAAACTAAGGTGTAGAAGTTATCTGCGTGGCCACTCGTTCAAGTTCAGAATATTGTAAATAACTGGAATGGTATCTCTGATCAAATGGTCAATGCGCATGCCCTATCCATGTTTTCTTTTAAGACCAGGTTGAACAAACACTGGGAAAATCAACCAATAAGTTTGAACCAAGCTTCTACTAATTAGCTGGGGAAGTACATATAGCCTTCCCTAATTCCAGTTTAAATTATTTCAACTCTTAAAACAAATGAATCGTTGTCGAGTGAAAAATTAAGAAAACATTCTGAGTGCTTAACCGATTTTCGTTCGGCGACCACTCTTGGCAAGATGTCATCATGATTGTATACTCTTTAAACTGATGCAAACTTCATTATTACACATTAAGAATTCGTTTCCAAAGTGGTAATTAATTAACCGAGTAATGAGAAAAACAAAAGACAAACAATTACGATAAAGCTTGATTTTTTTCCTATCATTTTTCACTCGACATCGATTCATTCCGGCCATCTCTTTTGCGATTAATTTGAAAGGTGTATTCAAACCGTTGGTATCATCCTACAGAGTACAAAATTCCCTTGGCTGGAGTGGTCTCCGAACAAAAATTCAGTAATATTCGAGATATATGTATTTACTTAAACGAAAGCAGTTGAAAATATCGCCATTTTTGTTTCGTGGATGTTCATTCCGGCTACCGCTCTCACTTCTACTTTGAAATATTCCTAGCATAACTTATACCATTGTAACGGGTGTAAAATTATCTTTCCTTAGCTGGTCTCCGAATATAAATCCATTATGTATTATGGGAGATATATCCTTATGAATACAATAATTCATCAAAAATATCTTCACACCAGAGTGCATTCCGGGTTAGGGTGGTAGGTAAATCTTGTACCCCGTTCCCGGACCCGGACTGAAACCCCGTACCGGGAATATAAAGATATTTTAATATCTCATTAACGCGATCGTTTATATTTTTTATAAAAATACAGAATAATTTCAAACATTATTTTCTAAATTTGTCAGTTACAAAAATGTATATTTATCATCTACTAATTTAGAAATCGGCGATAATGTGTATTTCAAGGGGGTGCAGTCAACCGTGAAAATCACGGTTTTTCACATATAATTAGAAATTTAGGGAAAATTAACATGTTATTTTCAGATATATAGAAGAAAATACCTTACTGTTTATAATTATGTAAGTTTCGTTGAAATAAACAACATATTTCACATGAAATTCTGACTTTGTTGTGATCGCGGGTGTTTTGTTTACTCCCGTACCCGTACTAAGGGGACATCACTCCGTCAAGACTCGTGCTAAATATGCATAATATGTAAAAAAAAAAAAAAAAAAAAAAAAAAAAACTTTTTCATTTTTTTTTTTACATTTTATAATCTGCTTTTTTGAATAATCTCTTATCACAACACATCAAACGCCACAAGCTTATTAGATGTAGAAGGTAAATGATACTCCATTATATTTCTTTAATCCATTGTTGATTATAATCTATATTTTTATAAAAAAAATATAAACGATCGCGTTAATGAGATATTAAAATATCTTTATATTGCCGGTACGGGGTTTCAGTCCGGGTCCGGGAACGGGGTACAAGATTTACCTACCACCCCGGGTGGGTGCTCGCTCCGTACCCAATATTAGAAAGCACCCAACCCTTCATTCGGAACACCTCGCCTTTTCACAGAGCAATGACATTCAAGGTCATTTTGGTGGGTAGTATTTTCTTTCAAAACATTTTTCTTTTAATTTGGCCTACTATGCCACGTTTTAATACACTCTAGGCTTGCTAGCTATTGAAAAGATCTGTAGAATACTAACACTTGTCTTGACGGTTGTGTTGACAAGTATACAATCACCATGGCGAGTGATCATGATCACAGGGGTTCGTTACAAATGTCTGAAATACATACATATGATATATGACATATGATACCTATACGATAGGTATATATACCCATGTGATCCGACATATATATACATATGTGTGTTCTGTAGAAAGCTCATTAGTTATACCGGTGTTTTTTTTTGTAAGGATCATGATGGAAGAATTGAACAAAAATATATGGGCCTATATAATATTGTCTAGTCACCAGTTTCTGCGCGTTATGTATTTCCGCGCAGCTATTTTATCAAGCTATATCTCGTAACTACGTGACCTGCTGGACACAACACAAGGATATTTTAGACGTTTGGCCATCGTCTGTAAACTGACTCAAAAATTACCGGAAGTTCGTCCAGAAAACATGAAAAAATAATCACCGATTAAAAAAACACGCATAAATATGCAGTTTTGCTTAATGCACTTTTTATCTTGCTCAAAATGAACCCATACCTGAAAAAACAGTGATATATTTCATTCATGAACGGGTCTTTTTTGTAGTCTGACAAACGTACGAAATTTGTCGTATGCAAATGAGGCCACATCTCCTCGCCGATTTTTAGCCCACCATCATCTGATGATCATCATCATCACTCAGGGCTATTCAAATCACCCTGCGTCCGTGGTCCATCGTCCGTCCGTTGTCCGTCGTCCGTCTGTAAACAATTCTTTGTTATCGGTATTTCTCAAGAAGTACCAGAGGGATCTTTCTCAAATTTTATATGCAGGCTTCCCTTGGTCCTAAGCTGTGCAGCTAGGGCAACTTTTGAGACTGATCGGATAAACAACATGGCCGACAGGCAGCCATCTTGGATTTTGATAGTGAAAGTTTGTTATCGATATTTCTCGGGAAGTATCAGAGGGATCTTTCTCTAATTTTATTTGTAGGTTCCCCTTGGTCCTTACAGCCATCTTGGATTTTGATAGTGAAAGTTTGTTATCGCTATTTCTGGGGAAGTATCAGAGGGATCTTTCTCTAATTTTATATGTAGGTTCCCCTTGGTCCTTAGCTGTGCAGGGCAACTTTTGAGATTGATCGGATAAACAACATGGCCGACAGGCAGCAATCTTGGATTTTGATATTGAAAGTTTGTTATCGCTATTTCTCAAGAAGCACTAGAGGGATCTTTCTCAAATTTTATATGTAGGTTCCCCTTGGTCCTTACAGCCATCTTGGATTTTGATAGTGAAAGTTTGTTATCACTACTTCTCGGGAAGTATCAGAGGGATCTTTCTCTAATTTTATATGTAGGGTCCCCTTGGTCCTTAGCTGTGCAGGGCAACTTTTGAGATTGATCGGATAAACAACATGGCCGACAGGCAGCAATCTTGGATTTTGATAGGGAAAGTTTGTTATCGCTATTTCTCAAGAAGTACCAAAGGGATCTTTCTCAAATTTTATATGTAGGTTCCCCTTGGTCCTGAGCTGTGCAGGACAATTTTTGAGACTGATCGGATAAACAACATGGCCGACAGGTAGCCATCTTGGATTTTGATAGTGAAAGTTTGTTATCGCTATTTCTGGGGAAGTATCAGAGGGATCTTTCTCTAATTTTATATGTAGGTTCCCCTTGGTCCTTACAGCCATCTTGGATTTTGATAGTGAAAGTTTGTTATCACTAATTCTCGGGAAGTATCAGAGGGATCTTTCTCTAATTTTATATGTAGGTTCCCCTTGGTCCTAAGCTGTGCAAGGCAACTTTTGAGACTGATCAGATAAACAACATGGCCGACAGGCAGCCATCTTGGTTTTTGATATTGAAAGTTTGTTATCGCTATTTCTGGGGAAGTATCAGAGGGATCTTTCTCTAATTTTATATGTAGGTTCCCCTTGGTCCTTACAGCCATCTTGGATTTTGATAGTGAAAGTTTGTTATCACTAATTCTCGGGAAGTATCAGAGGGATCTTTCTCTAATTTTATATGTAGGGTCCCCTTGGTCCTTAGCTGTGCAGGGCAATTTTTGAGACTGATCGGATAAACAACATGGCCGACAGGCAGCAATCTTGGATGTTGATATTGAAAGTTTGTTATCGATATTTCTCGGGAAGTATCAGAGGGATCTTTCTCTAATTTTATATGTAGGTTCCCCTTGGTCCTTAGCTGCGCAGGGCAACTTTTGAGACTGATCGGATAAACAACATGGCCACCATGCAGCCATCTTTGATTTTGATAGTGAAAGTTTGTTATCGCTATTTCTCGGGAAGTAAGGGATCTTTCTCAAATTTTATATGTAGGTTCCCCTTGGTCCTTACAGCCATCTTGGATTTTGATAGTGAAAGTTTGTTATCGCTATTTCTGGGGAAGTATCAGAGGGATCTTTCTCTAATTTTATATGTAGGTTCCCCTTGGTCCTGAGCTGTGCAGGACAATTTTTGAGACTGATCGGATAAACAACATGGCCGACAGGTAGCCATCTTGGATTTTGATAGTGAAAGTTTGTTATCGCTATTTCTCGGGAAGTAACAGAGGGATCTTTCTCAAATTTTATATGTAGGTTCCCCTTGGTCCTGAGCTGTGCAGGACAATTTTTGAGACTGATCGGATAAACAACATGGCCACCATGCAGCCATCTTTGATTTTGATAGTGAAAGTTTGTTATCGCTATTTCTCAAGAAGTACCAAAGGGATCTTTCTCAAATTTTATATGTAGGTTCCCCTGGGTCCTGAGCTGTGCAGGGCAACTTTTGAGACTGATCGGAAAAACAACATGGCCGACAGGCAGCCATCTTTGATTTTGATATTGAAAGTTTGTTATCGCTATTTCTCGGGAAGTAACAGAGGGATCTTTCTCAAATTTTATATGTAGGTTCCCCTTGGTCCTTAGCTGCGCAGGGCAACTTTTGAGACTGATCGGATAAACAACATGGCCAACATGCAGCCATCTTTGATTTTGATAGTGAAAGTTTGTTATCGCTATTTCTGGGGAAGTATCAGAGGGATCTTTCTCAGATTAACAACATGGCCGACAGGCAGCCATCTTGGTTTTTGATATTGAAAGTTTGTTATCGCTATTTCTGGGGAAGTATCAGAGGGATCTTTCTCTAATTTTATATGTAGGGTCCCCTTGGTCCTTAGCTGTGCAGGGCAATTTTTGAGACTGATCGGATAAACAACATGGCCGACAGGCAGCCATCATGGATTTTGATATTGAAAGTTTGTTATCGCTATTTCTGGGGAAGTATCAGAGGGATCTTTCTCAAATTTTATATGTAGGTTCCCCTTGGTCCTTAGCCAAGAAATGCCTATAAATAAACATTGTTGTAAACACGTCTGAATGACGTCACGCAGCAACATTTGTGACGTCATCAGTCCGTCTCTGGTTTTGTTCAAAGGTGCAGATGTTACACAAGTCGTACTGATACGAACAGCTCCAAATGTGTGTGTGTAACAATGTTTAACATTGAAATAAATGGCTTTTCTTAGCTGCGATAGTTAATTTTCGGTAACTTGAAGAAACTGATTAATGCTGTTTGAGTAAGATTACTGGGACCGGCTGAGATGAGATCAATTTACATTTCACAAAGGCTCAGGCCTGAACAAATATGAATTTCTAAATCGGTGATCAAAATTATATTTTTCATCGGTGAACGGTCCTCTAAAGCTTTTTCCCTCGACTTTTGGATAATTTGTCGCATACTTGTAGCATCTCCGATCGTCTTGCCTGTCAACCGGAAACATAACGGGTTTTTTTGGGCTTGAAAACTTATTTAACAGAGACTACCCCAGGTGTTGTAAATGTACTTACTTTTTCATCTAAAAATCAGTCTTTGGTAACTGTCTGTCTCTTGACGTAATCATCAGCGATTGTACAGCAGTATGTACCGGTACTTGTACTTTCAGGCCGACAACAAATTCTTTTCAAATATAAATCTAGCAAATATCTTGATGCTATTTTAATTAAAGTGTTGTAAGATAGCTGAATGCTAGGCACAAACAATACTTTTTTTAATATATACTGGTTGAGATTGTTTTCTAAATACATATTGCATGAAAATGGAAAATGAATTATCAAATCTTTCCGAGCGTCATTTCCATAAACAAGCATTGGGTCGTCAGTATTCATGGTATATATACCAAAGTACACATCTAGAATATTTTTTTACTTGCATTGACGGCTCAGTCGACCATGAAACTGCAATTAGCATTGAGATATGAGTATTTTCAATTTCTATATAATGCATTTACACTAAATCACAACCAACAGGCCCTAGATTAATGAGTTAAGTTGACGAGATGTCCGTCGCACAGACCCAATTTTTAGGATTCGTTGCGTTACAAGATATTTCATAACTGTTTTGATTAATAAAATAACTGTTCCTCTTCTTGTAAAAATGTTTGAAGGCTTTAACTGTGTTGAAGACTATTGTGACGTTATTAAGTCACACTCTTATATATTATGACGTCTTATGGCATTTTCGTCACGGGGTGGCGAATTTGCCTGCACTAACGTTATGTGTTACTCCAACATTGTTGGAGGTTTACACGGTGAGGTACTTTTGACAGGCGCCGTCGCAGTCGGCAAAATCATATCCGATAGAAAATTTCCTATTTACCTATATGTCTAAGCTAGTAGGTACATGCAAATCAGTGTTATAATTAAAACTCATATAAAAGCTTAATTTTCATCTCTTCTACCATTTGTTATGTCTTGCATCTTGATTTTTCAGATTTTGTAAAGAAAAAGGAAGCAGAAACTGGTATTATAAGCAGAAACTGGTATAAGAGAAACTCTGGACAATGAAGAATTTCATAAACCATTTAACTAAAATATGGCATAAAATAACTAAGAAGAACAAGAAAGAAAAAGGTCAGACTGTTGAAACTCTTCCCAAGTCTTTATCAACAACTAGTCTTTTGAGCCAGGCTCCTTCTCTTAGCCTAGCTAGCTTACTTGAAGATGATTTTGTTCCCTATGAACGCCAAATGTCTTGCAGTGTCAGGTCACTGCCCTGTTTGGATGATAATTCTTCCATTCAAAATCTAGAATATAAGCAAACATCAGGCCATTCTTCGAGTCTAGAGCTCATATCCAGGAACCGGTGTTTAAGTGGCAGATGTACTTACATTAATTGTTCAACTGTGGGGCATTCCAGTTACCAAAGTTCATTTTCCTGTCAACTTGACACCTTTGACCTCTTCCCATTCAAACCAAAGTCACATTTTGGCAGCCGTAAGAGGGTTCTGAACTTGGAGAATGATGATTTTATTGAGAGGCCAAACCAATTTGACATTCTAAAGTCTACTGAGGTGGGGACCTACATGGGACAACATCACAAGAAACAAAAATGTCAAGTTAACAAGCTAACAACAGAAAAAACAAAGGAGCATGTTGACTCACATCAAGTCCACCAATATAGACAGAAGGATAAGGAACCAGTTGTTATAAGAATGAAAGACTTGCATGAAAAACATCATCCCAAGAAAAAAGCACATTTATTTCAACAGAAAGAAATGAAAGGACAGAAAATGTTGAGGAAGGGCGGGGATAGAAAAGGAAGTCCTAAAAAGAAAGTACATGTATTCCACCAGAAGGATGGGGAGAGAAAAGGAAGTCCAAGAAGGAGAGCACATGTATTTTACCAAAAGGGCAGGGATAGAAAAGGAAATATGAAAAGAAAGGTGCTTTTACAAGATAAATTCTGGGACAGAAAAGAACGTCTTAGAATTCAAAGAGCACATGTATTTCACCGAAAGGGCTGTGGCGGAAAAGAAATTCCTAGAACGAAAGCAATTGTATTTCACCGAAAGGGCTGTGGCGGAAAAGTCTTCGAAGGAGAGCACATGTATTTCACCAGAAGGGCAGGGATAGAAAAGGAAGTCTTCGAAGGAGAGCACAAGTATTTCCCCAGAAGGGCAGGGATAGAAAAGGAAGTCTTCGAAGGAGAGCACATGTATTTCACCAGAAGGGCAGGGATAGAAAAGGAAGTCTTCGAAGGAGGGCACATGTATTTCACCAGAAGGGCACGGATAGAAAAGGAAGTCTTAGAAGGAGAGCACATGTATTTCACCAGAAGGGCAGGGATAGAAAAGGAAGTCTTCGTAGGAGAGCTCATGTATTTCACCAGAAGGGCAGGGACAGAAAAGGAAGTCTTCGAAGGAGAGCACATGTATTTCACCAGAAGGGCAGGGATAGAAAAGGAAGTCTTCGTAGGAGAGCTCATGTATTTCACCAGAAGGGCAGGGACAGAAAAGGAAGACCTAGAAAGAAAGTACATGTGTTCCACCAGAAGGACGGGGAAAGAAAAGGAAGTCTTCGAAGGAGAGCACATGTATTTCACCAGAAGGGCAGGGACAGAAAAGGAAGACCTAGAGAGAAAATACATGTATTCCACCAGAAGGATGGGGATAGAAAAGGAAGTCTTCGAAGGAGAGCACATGTATTTCACCAGAAGGGCAGGGATAGAAAAGGAAGTCTTCGAAGGAGAGCACATGTATTCCACCAGAAGGACGAGGATAGAAAAGGAAATCTTCAAAGGAGAGCAATTGTATTTCACCAGCAGGGCTGTGACAGAAGGGAAAGTCTGAGAAGGAAAGCATGTGTATTCCACCAGAAGGGTTTGGATCGAAAAGAAAAAAACATGCCTGTATTCCAATGGAAGCTTTTGGGAGGAAAAAATTGTCTTGGAAGAAATGCTCATGTATTTCAATTGAGGGTGTTTGATGGAAAAGATGGTGTGGAGGCGTGGGCCAAAGAACAACTTTTCTGCAGCACACCAGTATTGGACCACAAATGCTCAAGGACAAACTCCGGGAACAAAAAAAGAAAAAAGCAACTAAATACACCAAGGAAGCTACTTCAGAAAAATCCCTGGGAAACATGGCAGACAATAGAAACAGAACACATGTTTGGAAAGAAAAAAATAGTTCAGAAACAAGCTAAGGACATTTCACAACGAAATCTCAGAAAACTTCCCGGGAAACTGACTACAGAACAAAGATATAAAGTTCAAAGTAAGTGTTTAATTTTGATTTTATGAAGCAGTTGACCTTTTACTGAACAAGCAAAATATTTAGCTGCGTGGTTAATTTTCCTAGGTAGAAGCTCATTGGCTAATTACATTTTTAATATCTTTATTTTGTCAAGGGGCTGGTTGGAATAGCAAAAGGTTCTGTCAAACTCAACTGAATCAGTTTGTGGAATTGTTGTTTATACAATGATGCCCATATTTAAGTTTACTCATATAAATATTTTTGATACTATGTATATATTTCATTTACACCAAATTCAAACCATTTAGAATAATTTTCGTGGAAATGAATAAGATTTTGTATGATTTTTTTCTTTCTGTTACAACATTATATATTAAAAGCTCTATTTTAATATACGTCATTTTCTGTCAACTGTTGAGTCTACATAATCAACATTTCTTGCAATATAACTTTTTTCAGTGTATGTTTTTTAGTCTTTCATACAACGTACAATGTAAAGGAGGCAATCGCATCTAAGTTGATCCTTTATTGATACAAAATTAATTATTAATCAAGAGCTTTGTTATTCTCATTTCAAGATATGTTTATTACTTAGGAGACGTTGGACAAATCATTGGGCGGCCCTGGCCAGTTTTTAAGAGGAGACCGGGTGGTAAAACTTCTTTACCCAATTTGTCACGTGTTCTGCAACCCAGAAATGAGCAGGCTAAGCAGGATGCTCAACACAGACCTCAGCAGCCTACACAACCTGAGGTTCAACAGACTTCTCAACTTCAACAGGGTAGACATGCTGCTCAACTCTTACCTGTACAGTCTGAGCAGGATTCCGAATCCATAGACCAACATACAACCCATTTTGGTGCTGTTCATCATGACATGTCACAGACTGAACAGGCTGCTGGGGAACGTGAAGCATACAGTGCTGATTGTAAGTTATCACATTGTAGAAGTTGTTCCTGTGTGTACTCATGATCGCTGGTTCTTTTTATACGAAAACAGTAAAGGGCAGCATGTTAAAATGTGCTAGCTGTCAATCAAATCATAACCTTGTAGAACTTGTCCCACAATTTTCAACTAGCACTGTATCATTTGAGATCCGATGTGTTTGATGAGTATTGTATGAAGATTTCCATATCATGAGCTGGCAATGCAGTATTAAAATTTTCTGTAGTCTGGCCTTTTGTTATTCCTCTGGCCTGTTTGAACCTTAAAAAATTACCAAAAACTGAGGAATATATTCCCAATTTCAACACAAATATTGCTATATTTTCCCAATTTATAAAAGAACAGTCTTTTATAAAGTTAAGGTAACAAAAACACTGCCATAATGCAATTTTTAAACCAGTTAACAAGGAACAAATAGAAAAAAAAGACAATTTGTCATATTCCAGGCCATTCAAGAAAAGCATTTTCCAATTTCATCACATCCAGGAAATAACTCAACTTTCCTACATAATAGAATACAAATTACCGGTAAAAAAAAAAAATGGTAACATTTGAATATTTTGAAAAGGGTTTCACATATATATATTATATTTTACATAATATCAATTGGTTCCAAAAAAAAATTAAAAAAAAAAAAAAAATCCTTGTAATTTCAGTTCTTGATAAAATCATGTTAGTCTGCATAATACACAGGTGAGCAGTGCATTGACATTTGTGAATTATTTACCTTTACCTATTTGTCAAGATATTAATGCAAATTTTCTGAAATCATGCCTCAGCTATAATTTGTAAACTGATATTAGGTATCTTAATGCTACTTGAAGTACGTACAGGTATCACCCAAAGGTGGTGTGTGTGTAGTGCACTTTATGCAGGTCTACTTTCTGTGACCTTCATCTCTAGGTCAGAAGATTGGACCCAGACAAAATGGCTCCGCATGTTAAGATGAAACTAACCTGAATTAGGTTGAGTATTTTCATGTTTGAAGACATATTGCAGTATATAGGACAGAAATGTCATAACTTGTAAGTGAATGCTGTTCAGATGTATTTTAGATAAAGATGTCAGTTGCAAGATTTCACATTGTGCATTTTGGTGAGTTATGGTTGTATTATAGGAAACATTTTACATCATTTACATCTATAATTTTTGATAGCTTAATTGTTCATGGGCATGTTCTGATATAAATCTTGAAATCTACTGATCAAGTCAACTACATGTGATTTTTTTACCAAAGATGTTTCATGTTTTCTCCTGCCTATGATCATGAGAATAAAACTTTTATTTCTTTTTTTTTGTATTTCAGTCCAAAAAAAGTTGCCTTCTGCAAAAGGGTGTGTGGTGTTCAAAAGAAGAAGTCTAGTTCTGTATCATACCTGTCAGATAGATTGTATTTTGTTTACAATCTTTCTCTTGGTTCACCATCATCCACAAATGGAACAGATGCTTAGAAATGCTGATGATGATTTTCAGGTATAGCATACAAACTGTATTGTGGAACTGGTGTAACTTTTAGTTCATGATGGAATGACAGTAAGCTGGTGTAGTCTTCAGACTGATACTGTACATTTATTAAGTATTCGTAATGTGATATAGCTACAGTGTATATTTTTTAAAAAATCAATATAAATTATTTACCTGTAGTATACCCTATGTAAGTCTATGAATTCTAAAATTTTAATCAATTCAAAGAGTAGCAAAAATGCTAACTGCTGTCTCTAATAATTATGTAAGAGCTCACCACTCAAGGTAAATACATCTAATCTTTTTTGTTTATTTGCCAAAGTGTTCAGATAGAGTATAAACATTTACTTGTCAGTTTAATTGCCATTTCCTCACCAGTGAGTTCAAAACACCTTTGTAAATATTAGCTCCAATTTACTTTTTTGACTGTTTGCTACGACTGATATTATTACTTCAGTATTTCTGATTTCATTTTCTCACTAATTTTCAGTGGTTGTACTGTATTTGGAATAAGTGCAGGACAGGAAAGTTTGAAGATGCAAAGCTAGCATTCTGGCTGAGACATGGAATTGCCCTTCCAGAGGAGGACTTTATTGACTTCAAGGTCAAATTAGAAGCAGATTGGATTTTGGAGCCACTGAAGATAAAAATCTTTCATCAAATGTCCAAATGCAAGACTTGTAATGAATCTTGCGTTTTTGGTGAGGTAGATCAGGATGAATACTTCCAGAACAGCATCGGAGCATTTGCAAAAAGATGTGTTGGACTTGGGAAGTAAGACTTTTAGATGTCAAAAAATTTAACTACATAATCTAGCTTTTGATTTTTTACTTTTAAATAGTGTTATGAAATTATTCATTCTGAGAATAATTTTCTATCGTTCTGATACTGTATATGTTGTACTGGCGTGCATGGATGTGTTTATGGTCATGATACACATATTAACCACTTTTTTTCTCAGGTGTTTAAGATTCATTTATATTATCGATTAAAACATTATGTAGCTGAAAGTTATGACTGTGTTACCTGCACTTGTAAGTATTGTGTTGGACCAATATGATCAACTTTTATTACCTATATAGCAGTTTAAGTTTTGTGTTGGACCAATAGGATCGACTTTTATTACCTATATAGCAGTTTAAGTTTTGTGTTGGACCAATAGGATC